AGATGGACACTTCATGATGTCAGTGTTACAAAATGATTTGAGTATACACAGAATATGCTTGTTGATGTCATTGAGCATAGCAGGAAGATGCTCTTAATACAAAATTACTTGGAAAGCAGTGTACCATCAGGAAGGGCTCCAAGTCCTTTTCTAGTTTGACCTTGGTTGTGCCAGCTTACCTTAAAAAATAAAACATTTAGGGTCCTGGCACCATAGCCTAATGCCTAAAGTCCTCAACTTGCACGTTCTGAGATCCCATATGGGTACCAGTTCATGTCCTGGAAGCCTTGCTTCCCATCCAACTCCCTGCTTGTGGCCTGGGAAATCAGCTGAGAACGACCCAAATCCTTGGGACCCTGCACTGGCCTGGGAGATCCAGAATAGGCTCTGGGCTCCTGACTTTGGTTCAGTGCAGCTTCAGCCACTGTGGCTGCTTGGGGAGTGAATCAACAGACAGAAGATCTTCCTCTCTGTCTTTTCTCCTCTCTATATATCTGACTTTCCAATAAAAATAAATAAATCTTAAAATACAGAAGTTTTAAAAAAAAATATTAAAGAGTTAAAGAGAAAAAAACAAATTCCATCTGCTGATCCACTCCCCAAATGGCTACAAAGACCAGGGCTGGGTCAAGCCAAACCTAAAAGCCAGCAGCTTCATGTGGATTTTCCACAAGGAGACAAAGGCCCAAGTACTTGGGTCATCTTCGGCTGCTTTCACAGGTGTGTAAGCAGGGATGGGGTAGGAAGCAGAACAGTTGAGACTTGAACCAGCATATGGGATGCTGGCATTACGGGTGCAGCTTGTTATGCTGGAATGCTGGCCCCCTGAGCATATACTGTTATCTCTAATTCTGGAATGATAGTACTCAGAAAGTTACCAGATCCTCTCCCTTTTTCACATGTTAGCACACATAGAAAATTGTGATGTTTGTCTTGCCCACCAAAATCAATGGATGATCCTATGGGAAATTATTTTAAGATCCACAAAATCTAGAATGCCTCCTTGAGAGGTCAGTATCAGCACACTGTTCACACAGAGAATAATGCAGGCTTAGTTCTGCTAGTTTAACACAGAGGTATGGCTTTGTTACTCTGATAGTCTCATGCTCAAAATCCAAATTTCTCTAATTACATCTTCAAAAGAATAAAATCCCTGATTATCATCATGACACGTAGATACGCTTGGGAGTTGATGTCTCGGTGTTAATTCGTGTTTTACTCAGGTCCTTTCCACATTACACTGTGACAGATGTTTTTTACTTGCCATATCAAACTTCTGAACCTCCATCTCTTAACTTGATCTTCAGTTTACCAGGCCCGGATTTGTAAAAACGTGACAAGCTTTACTCATTATGCTGAAAATGCCTCAAGTTGGCCTGAAATCACTTGGTTTTTCTTTTCCTCTAGTTTCTCTAGCAACAAAATCTGTAGCTCGCTGCAGCGGCCGCTCGCCATGGCATGCGGGCAGCCTGGATGTGTGGAACATTCACATGCATGGAGCCAACGTGACGTGCTTATGCTAGCAGACATGAACTCTGAAGACAGCAGACCCTCCATCATGGAAATCTAGGCCAACAGTTCTGAGACTTCTGAAACATGTTATGAACCTCCATTGTAGGTCATGAAGTGCTGTGCACCTGTCACTTGCACCATTAGCCAGCTCTTAATTTATATTTGAATAAGATCTCCAATCTTTTTCCTTTTGATTTTTCCTTTTCCTTCATTCTTTCAATAAGATTACTTCTCAAATTCACTAATATGTAACTCTTGACTATTTAAAAAAATAGTTATTAAAAAGACTTAGTAGGAGTATTTATACAAAATAGACCCCTTTGTTGGGATTTGAAAAGTGGATTACTTCTAGACAAATAATTAATGAAATTCTTTATTTCTTACAGTGTTAATCTTAGGAATACAGTAACATAGCTACTAAGAATGCAGCCAATGGTCGATTTTGATGAGATAAAATAAAAACAGAAGGAAAGTTGGACCATGTAGAAACTCGAAATCTTGATTAGCATGGGATACTTTTACTTTAAGAGCCCCTCTTCATATCACACTACTTCGGATATTGTTGTGCAGCTGGAGCTTACAAGCATGAAGTAGCCAGAGCTATCATCTAGATAGATTGATAAATATAGATAATTAGCAAGAAAATGAATATTAGCAAGAATATGAAACAGACTCCAACAATTTCAGAGTATAGTCAAGTCAATTAATATTTTGATGTCAGTAAATTAGATTTTGAGAGACATTCAATAAAAACAGAAGAGAATGGCTTTCCTAATGTCAGGCAACCTCACGTTCTGTGAACATGAGTCTGATGCAGTGGGCCTGTGAGTGGAGTGATGGAAGTAATTCATCAGTGTAACTCAGTAGCACAGGATGCCTCTCTTCAATGCCTATCTAGCTCCTATGAGGCTCAATACCCAGTCTTTCGGTACTGAAGTTCAGCAATGAATTCTTGCAGTTATGCTTTCCTTTGAAGAAACTGGTACAATTGCTACCCTTAGTGGAACTGTTATACATGAAGATATGGGTTTGTTTTTTTCTCTCTTTGGCACTGCAACCAGAATAACTAGAAAGGCAACAGAATGCATGTGATAGTACCATAAACATGGGACCTACCTGATCTATTTTATATCCCATCACTAAGAAGCAACCGACCTGTTGCAATAGTGAAACGCTTTGTTAAAAACTCAAACGATGTGCCAGATCAGGAATATTGTCACTAACGTAGAAATACTACTAGTCAGAATAGCATATATGCATTGAACCAAAAGCCAGAAGAGGTGCTAAGGCCTCGATAGGTAGACTGCAGACCCACAGGGATCTGGAAACCAAAGGATCTGTGAAAAATTGTACATGCTTGTTAATTCATTGAGGTCACTTCTAAATTTTGTACCTCTACTGGACTCCAGGTTTTACTTTTCAAAGGATTTATCTTTAAAGTAAAAATGAAGGATCCTACCTTATAAATATTCGAAGCTATGATTACCATAAATGGCATATATACCACAGTCACTTTGAATTATTTACGCTACTGAATCAACAACAAGGAAAAGATTGGAGTGCCAGTGTGGTTAATTGATCATAATTGTCATTAGGAGTTATGCTTCCTGCTATACAGAGACACAATTCACTTGTACATGTTTCATTAGTTCTGTATCAGTGAAAATGATATCTAGGAAAATACAATAGCTATGGGCTTGACAATTGAAGGTATAGCCACCTCACAAGGCAACAAACCTAACCCATATTGAAGTAACAGACTAGCCCCAGATAAAGATGCCTGTTAATCTAGTTCCTGATGAAGTCTCTCTGATTTGCAGAAGATAGCTTTCTCACTGTGTGTTCACTTAATATACTTTTTATGTGTAGAAAAAAGAAAAGGTTGAGATTTCTGGCATCTCTTTTAACACTGATTATATCTTATTAGGGTTAGAACCTTATTACCTCAACCTTAATTACTTTCATAAAGACTTCATTTTTATTACAGTCGTATTTGAGGGTTACGATTTTAGCCTAGGACTATTGGGGAATAGCTCTTCAGCTCCTAATAGATAGGGTAGAGTTGAGACAGTGAGTTTAAATTGTGTGCCTCAGAACCAGATGCAGCAATGACTGAAACTATTCCACTAGCCAACTTTAATAACTGGCTGCTACTTTGAAGGGGACTTAATGATAGATGGACTAATGGAAAACGCAGTGGACAGCGAGTGGATTGGGTGGGATTGGATAGCTTTCTGCACAATCCCCTTGGTTATGAGACTTCCTTCATAAGCCTTTGATAATGACCTCCAGGCTTGAACCATGGTTCTCTGCATCAATGGCCAACTTAATAACACCACCTTGTATTGGCTTACCTTTTTCTCAGTTTCATTTTTTCCTGTCCATCACTTCTTCTTCCTGAGATCATTTTCTAAACAAACTTTCTTCTTTCCAGAATTTATCTCAGAACTGTTTGAGAAAAATGTTTCCTGAGACCTCTTTTTTTTTTGGCTAAAATAATTGTTGCAGTTAGCAAGGGGACTGACATATGAAATGGAATGAATAAATATTTGTGCAATGGATACCAGCCCCTGGAAATCCCATGGTCTTTTACGGTTTGGGCGTTTTTCCAAACAGTAAAGACTAGTGCAATAGTTTCAATCACTGAATTTCCTTCTATTCCAATTGCTGGCATTAGACTTATCATCTGTAAAATTCCTGCTCATGTTTCAACTCATTTGCGGGCTCACAGGTGAACTGTCAGTGGCTGATCTCCTGTAGAACACATCACAAATCATTGGTGCGTGAACAATCATGTTCCTGGAAATACTGAAGAATGCATTTCCTCGTCTCTATTGCATATGGCTAGGGCAATTCAGCAGAGTTCTAGCCAGAGAAATGTGGGCAGAGGTGATATAAACTTGGCATAGTTCTCACCATAAACTTGAACGCATGAGTTTCCCTTCTCTAATTATGTTTACTCAGTTGGAAGTAGAGAACTGAAAGATAGCAAAACTATAAGCTGCAAGCAGCTGATCCCTGGTTTATCACTTGGAATAGAGTTTTTTATCACGTAGTAACATTTGGCTTTACTTAAGTGAAAAGCTTGACATGCGTTATTCCACTGAGAGGCCAGGAGTTATTTCTACTTCGGTATGGCCTACCATGTCATAACTAATTTATCCCAGAAAAATGTAGGAATCCATCTGTGTCTCTCTGCACTCCAGACTCTGGGTCGTGGTCTCTGGATATAGCCTGTATTCATTTAGTAAACACTTAATACTAATTATTTAGTTTCATCTCCCTCTACTTAATTGAAACTAAACTGAAACAACCATCACATGAAATACTTACATTGCATTAAATAGATAATGATTAAATTGTTGGTGGGGAGATAGGGAAGAATATGTAGATATTTTCTGTAGGATTATGAGAGGAAAATGGAGATTGTTGAGATTGACATGCCTTGATTGAAAGGGAAAAGTTACTTTCTATAAAGTTCTACTGCAGTGCTCACTTCGGCAGCAGATATGCTAAAATTGGAATGATACAGAGATTAGCATGGCCCCTGTGCAAGGATGACACGCAGATTCGTGAAGTGTTCCATATTTTCTAGGAGGTGCTCAATAAATACAGTCTCTGAATGGAAAATAAAAGTTCTGTTGCATTGGGGTTAGGTATTTAGCTTAGTGACTGAGATACACATCTCATACTGGAAATCTTGACCTTATTTCCTGAATCCAGGTTCAGGTGAATATAAACACAGGGAAGGAGGAATAATGCCCAAACAATTGCATTGCTGCTGTCCATATAAGATTCCTGGCTTGTTTTTCTGGCTCCTGCTCTAGTGTTGGGTCTATCTCTAGTCTATTGAAGGAGCTTAGTGTTTGGGTCTAACTCTAGTCTATTGAAGGAGCTCAGTAGTTAGGTATTCTCTGTCTATACACATGTCTATCATTTCTCTGTCTCTCTGCAACTTAAATTTTCTTTGCTTTAAATACGTCTACTTTGAGAGATGCTGAAAAAATTTTCGGTAGACAGCTTAGTTGGCCAAAAATTTAAAGATTAATTGTCCACATTGTTCAACTTAATAGTGAAGCAATTAAGTTCAGGAAAGTAAAATAACTTGGTCAAAGCATGTTAGCAACAAAATTTGAGTCTTCCATCTCCCATATTTTATTTCATCAAAATTTAAAGAGAGAATGAACAATGCACTAAGCAAGTATATAGCACGTATCAATTTAATTCCTAAAAACTTTCTAATTATGCTCTTTTAAGCTAATTCCTTAGCTGATCAGGGAGCAAAGGAGGTTTTCTCATGTACAAAAGGGACATAAATAACTTCACTGATTCTCACCAGGTTTGACTCTGTGTTAGCACCATTGTACTCATTACACGTACATTTCTCTTAACATTCATTTGAATGGCATAGTCAGAAATACAGAAGGAGAAAGAAGGTTTTAGAAGAGGGACCTTCCCCCTGTTTGTTCACTCTGCATATATCAGTAACAGCAGGGGCAGGGCTGTGGTTCGAGTTGTGACTTAGATACAGTTCTCCTACATAGATGCCAAGGACCCAATTACTCCAGGCTTCACTACTGCCTTCCTGGCTCTACCTCAGCATGATATTGGAGATGGCAGTTGGGACTGGCAATTAGAACCAGGTGCTTTGATGTGACGTGGGTATCTTCTTTTTAAGATCCCTTATTTTTATTTGAAAGGAAGATTTTATATATGGACAGAGAAATCTTCTGGTTCACTCCCTAAATAGCTACAATGGCTGGAGCTGAGTCGAGACAAAACAAGGAGCCAGGAGCTTTTGCTGGATCTCACATGTGGGTGCAGTGGCCTAAGAATTTGAACATCAACTTCTGCTTTTCCAGGCCATAAACAGCAATGGGAAATGGAGCCACCAGGGCACCAACTGGCACCCATTTGCAATGCTGGTACCACAGGTGGAGAATTAACTGGCTAAACTGCCTCACAGATTCCAAGACAAAGGCATCTTATTTCTAGATTAAACTCCTCTTGTAACGTTTATTACAATTCCAGTAAGTACAAAAACAAATATTTCTTATTCAATTATATTACATTTTACTTGTCCGATACTAAGGAGCTCATAGGAATTCTTGGGGAAAAAACCCAACTCAAGACCCACACAGTTAATTTCTAAGAAACTCGTAAAAGAGTTATTTCAGACTTATTTCAGACTGTGACTTTTTATGAGTATAATTAATTGCAAGCAGCAAGTGGCAAAGTGATTTGAAAAGAACAAATCTGGAAACTCAGATGACTGTGAAAACTGGAAAGCCCCAGAACACCATTCTCCTCAGCTCCCAGTTCCCGTGTTAACTGGGAGTAGCATTTTTTTTTATTCCTTTATTCCGACAAAATGAATCATTTAGTGCAAGAAATACTTTGCAGCCAGAGAAACCTGTGTAGCATCACTTGACAGGATCACTCTCAAAAGGCTCCATTATTTTGCCCTTGGAATTCCGCTTATAAGTAAGTTGTTTAGGGTTCACAATGACTCAAAGTCAGCTTTTGTTGGGGAGAAAGTCTTGATAAGAAACGTGGCATGATTGCTCTGGGAATGTAGACTTTGCATGCTATTCAGAGCCCTGTTGAGTATCTTGCAGGTCACACGTGGACAAAGGTATGACGATCACTGGTTTGAAGTACCTTGACAACAAGTCTTGGCTGGACAACTTGGTATCTTTGTGATATTGAGAAAGCTACTTGAATCTCCTGAGCCTCAAATAAAGATGAATTGCCATTGAACAGGGGCAGTGGTGCTCCCATCTCTCTTGGATTATTGTGTTGATGAAATGAGAACATTTGCAACTGTATGTCACCTAACACAGCAATTGGAATGTAATTGGCACTTAATAACAATCACATACCTCTGGATAAAGCATAAATGGGCTCTAGGATTTATTCACTACTTCATTTCTTAGACAGTTACATAAATCATTTTAATTACTTTTGTTTTCCTTATCAGTGAATTAAGGATTAAATTAGCTTCATGAAGATTATGCTTTGGTCCCTGAGGATTATAAAGTAGTTTAACAGTTTCTCAAAAAAAAAAAAAAAAAGCTAATAAAAATTGAGCTCACTTCCTTAAAATAAATCAGCTCAAATAGTTTTAAATTCACAGCAAAGTTGAAGGAAAGTATAGATATTTCTCACATTATCACTACTCACCCCTGCCCATTTGGCACACCCTCCTCACTCTCCAGAATTTCTCACCAGAGTTGTGCATTTGCTACAGTTAACTCCACACTGACACATCATCGTTGACCAAAGTCTGTAGCTTATCTTTGGGTTCACACTAAGAGTTGTGCATTCTGTAGGGTTGGGTTGGTACATAGCAGTAGACAGAACAGTTTCACTGACCTCAATATGCTCTGTTCTCTGCTCACCCTTCCCTTCCCATTTACTCCTAGAAATATCTGATCTTTCTGCTGTCCCCATGGTTTTGCCTTTCCCAGACAGTCGTATACATAGCATCCCTTGTATGCACTAGTTCAACTTAGACGTTTTCACCTTTACTATGATGCAAAAGTAATATGCATTTAGTAGAAACCAGACCTCAATTTTGAGTTTTGATCTTAACCAAGATTGTGATATTTTCCTTTTGGTAAGCTTTTGGCATGTTAGGACAGCGTGGTGACTTCCAAGCTTTTTACAGGCTGAGTTAGAAACTGGTAGAACTTAGTTTTTCATGTTATTTCTGTAAATCTAGTTCAACCAACCCTAGAACATACACTCAGTGGTAATCTAATCTTCACAGTCACCTAGAAATGTAACATCTCTACTTCCAAACCAAATGGATTTCTAATAATAATACACTTAAATAGCAGAATGATAGACTTAGGACTATTTATGAAGGACTATACTATTGTAATAATAAAGAGGAAAAAAGTGAAGGGGGGTTTCAGAGAGAGAGTATATATATCATTTTTTTAAAAAGACAATATACTTTCTACAAAAAAAGGAGGAAGGGAGGGAGGGTGGGAGAAAAGAAGGAAGGAAGGAAGGAAGGAAGGAAGGAAGGAAGGATGAAAGAAAGAAAAAGAAAGAAAGAAAGAAAGAAAGAAAGAAAGAAAGAAAGAAAGAAAGAAGGAAGGAAAAAGAAAAAAAAGAAAATACAGGGTCACTATCATTCTACCTTTCCCAAATCAGTGATCTTAGACTCTACAGATAAAGAAACTAAGACCAAAAAAAAAAGGACAAGTAAAAAGTTGAGTGAAAAATTGCCAGGCATCAGTGCAGTCAATGCCGGGCACCAGGAAAGGCAGCACTGAGAGACTTCAAGCTTACTCACCACACTCTGCTGATGAGTCTGGCAGCCCGTTTAGCGACTCTTTGCTAACAAGTAGTATCTCCCAAGAAAATATGTTCAATTCCCTTGCAGATTTTTTAAAAAATATTTTGTTTCAATAAGGCCTTATTTGACTTCTTAGAGAGTGAGAATTTTCAATTATTTCAAAATATTCCGGTCTCATAAAAAAGTAAACCATTATTTTTCACAGTTCTATATTTTCTTCTGTGGGGTTTATTTTTCACACATAAAAAATCCCATAGAACAGATATATTCTAATGGAACTTAAGAATCCCATGGGGAGTGCCTAGTGAAATTCACTGAGTTACAGAAAGAAGCAATATATGCCCTATTCATTTTACTTCATTAAAAATTCTATTATTAACATCTGCTAATGTTTACTTATATACAATTTATACATTAATATTATATACTGAACACTGAGCTTTAAAATGTTTTATGATAAAGATGAATATTCAAATAAGTTTGAGACCACTGTTTTATAGAATCTAGAATTTTGATATTTATTGTTCATGTTTTATTTCAATGAATCAATTTATATTTTCACAAGATTAAACTGTATTTGTGATTGATAAGATTAATGATAAGATTAACAGTTTATATGAAAGTTTCACCATAATATAAATGTTTGTGATTCCTGGATTTAAGCCATGCTTTGGCTACTTCCATCAAAAGTTGGTATAGTGGGACCATGCTCTATCCATGCAATTGTATTGGAAGGTGGGATGAAGTCCTTATGAATGGATTAGTATCTGTCTTACATGAAGAAGATCTCGCTCTGCTGGGACTGCCTTAATTACAAGGGCAAGTTGTTACAAAGTTCATCCACTCATGTTCTTCCCTCTTCTAAACATACCCTCTTACCTTTTGCTTTCTACCCTCACTTGGAGTGGCAGAAGGCTCATATCAGGCGTGGCCACCTGCTAGTATAAATAACAGCCTTTTGAAATATTAGCTGAATAATCAATCTCTATTTTTCACAAACTCCCAAATTAATCTGTTGTAGCAAAACAAAATGGATACAATTTAACATGCAGTGTATTCACAAGGACTATTGTTGGAAGGAAGGCACAGAGGGAGGGAGCAAGGACAAGTAAAAGCAAATGTTTAACCCATCCTCTGGTTGGTATCTCTATCACTAATGCCAGATTAACAAGGGACATTTTTTTAAATTGTTTAACATAAGTTTTATATAACATCGGAACATTCAAAAACAAAGACCTTAAAGAAGTCAATAAACTTTGAAATTTTAGTGGCAGCTTTGAAAT